ACACTACAAGCGCTACAAACCAAACATCGATTTTGGATTCCACTATAAATGTGGTAAGGAAAAGCAGTTCAGCTACGAACGACCGCATCCGAAATATAAAACGACAAATAGATGCTCTCACCAGAGAACGAGGAAAATATCAAGGCAACTATCTGCAACAAGCATTCATGGTCCTGACAGCCCAGCTCACTCTACTGGCAAGTGGGATGCAGCGAATGCAAAATGAAATAACCAACGTTCTTACCGACATTCGCCACCGAACAAATAGCCCCATGCTAGTTTCTCCATAACAATTAAGGGATCAACTTAAGATTAGGGAACACATCCCACCGGATCAACAGCTGCCAGTCTCTTCAAATTACGTAATACAACTCTATCGAATCATGCATGCCGAGGGAACAACAACCACTGACCATGTTATCTTCAAAATAACGCTGCCATTAGTATCCACAGCGCAGCATGAAGTTTTCAGCGTCATCCCCATCCCAGCATGGAAGGCAGGAAGCTGGCATGAATTCAAGCTCAAAACAAGGATCATAACTGTAAATGCCCATAGAGATCAATTCCTGGGACTAACTACTGACGAGTTTGATCAATGTCTACAATTGCCAACGGATGAACATATATGCATCAATCATCAAGCTACGTTTAGCGTAGATAATCGATATGAATTTCAGTTGTTCAATAACAAGACTGAAACGGAATGTGAGACTGCTAAAACGAAGTCCGATTTAATATGGTCAGCAACACATCAACGAAACAGATGGATGTTTGCAACCCACAGTCCGATCGAACTGCAGGCGGTATGCAAGGGAGTTCCCTCCACAGTGCAAAAGGAAGGAACGGGCTTACTATCACTCGCCGCAGGTTGCACGGCGCGCAACTCAAAAATCAGTGTTAGTACATTTAGCACAAGGCGCAGCGAGACAAAAGCAGCATATGTTCGTTTTGGAAACATCACCAAGATTAACATAGAAGAGACACCGAAACCAGTGGGGGAATCGACAACCAAGATAACCGACGCCGAATTAGGCGAATTAGATGCCCTACAACAACAACTGGCCAAACTAAAGGATGCGAAGTACGAAAATCAAGTCAGCGCTGTACACCATCATCAAGTAGCCGCCTATGTGGCACTATCAATATCAATACTACTGATCGTGACCCTGAGTCTACGATATCGACGAATCAATTGGAGAACACCACAATGCAGCCCCAATCCCCGGACAACAAGTGAACAGCCAGCACCCGAACCTACCCCACGGAGTTTTTCATTCGACATCACTGAAGGTTGAACACCCGTTCAACGGCCGGGAGAATGTTCAGTCGCTGCAATATTCATAATCATAACATTACATAATCTGTAATTCGTCAGTCGCAGCAATCTCATATGCGGCCAAAATAAAGTATAGATTACCAGGTCAAGCGCATATGTAGATTCTGCTGACGCGATGAAGTGGGATGGAGCAATAGCCTCATTCCGCATATGCCATTACAACCTATATTATTTTTGCACATCAATGTTTGTACCCAGAAGCATATTTGTTTCCGCATGCACTAGCAACCTTTATTATTCTTTATCATTAATATTCGTAAATGTAAGCACATTTGTTAGCTATAAATATCGTTAAGTTTGAATCAATAAAGTCAGTAATCATCTTAACGTCAAAGAGATCTTTACTCCTCCAAACTGCAGTCCACATAGTTCAAGTGCTGGGTGCGACACAAGCAAGGCAAGTATTTTATGCGCTATTTTGCCAGGCACCGAAGCCTCCTCACACTAACAAACATTCACATTAACACCGACATTCACATTCCAACCGTCCGGTTCAACACGCGACCAGTGCATTCGCCGGCCTGTCACGGAACTGGTGTCCTACACCACGCGGCTGCGCAAGCTTCCGATGCGCCTGGGTCAAACGGAGGCAACACGATGCGCGCCGGTTTCACTGTTAACGCTTGCCACATTTTTAGCGTGTCCACAAACTTATCACTGTATTTAATATCGACCATAAATCACTAAATCATAATGTTCGCGAGTCTGTGGTGAATCCCACTTCTGATGCTCCTCCGTAATCAAGCCAGCCGAACAGACCAATCTGTCATCACGCCACTTTTCCTTTGGCACTTACCCTTTTTTTTATCTTTCACTCAGACGACAATCCTAGACAATATCTATCTGTCTCTCTCTCTCTCTCTCTCTCTCTCGTTCCTATTGTTGCGACAGACGAACAGACCTCACTCAGTAACAGACAGTCTTCTGTCCTTGCCCTCTTACCGGCTCAACTGTCATCGCGGGCCAGCGACACCTACAGGGCTACCAATACTTGAGCATGCCGAATAATTCTGTTGCCACGTCAACAAGAATTCCATTTGCACTTAGCAACCAATTCGCCCAGCCTTTATTGCTGGCTTTGTTATCTCTTTGTCTCAAGTTAACCGTCTTCAATTTTTTAAATCGTTTACTTGATCTGTGTTTCGTCTCCGATCCTGTAGGTGTAAACTTAACAAGAGTCGATCCACTGACGCTTCCAAAAGACCCTTACCATCCTCCTTTCGAAGTGACCATCGATTTGGGGACTGTCGTAAAGAATAAATCTGACCGCTCAGTCACTAAAGTTCGCTGTGTTCGTAAAGCAAACTTTTAAATGCTAAATATCTTAATTTCCGAATTTGATTGGTCTGATCTTTACTTGTGCACTGACATGGCGTCCGCCGTGGATATTTTTTACAGTGCCATGAATTCGTTCTTTTTGTCGTGTGTTCCGTTAACCTATTAGTCGGTTTCTAGTAAACCACCTTGGTTCACTAAATAGTTGACACGCCTAAAAAACATTAGGTCTAGGCTTTACAATAATTATAAATGTACCGGTTCTCCAACAGTTTTTTCTAGCTATCTTAGTGCTCGGTGAAATTTAACCGTGCTTAACGCGCAGTGTTATAAAAATTATTTAACTCGCTGTAGTGTTCAGTTCACGCAGGATCCGAAACAGTTTTATAACTTTGTTAACACAAAACATAAATCTAATCTATATCGTTCCTCGCTTTCATTTAATAACACTACAGCAAACTCTGATCAGACCATCGCCGATCTCTTTGCTGAGTTTTTCAAAACCACTTATTCTTCCTCAAGTGGTTTAGATCAGACTTACTCTTTTGATTTACCCAGGTCGAACCTAATCTTCAGTCCTATTTTAAACGAAAACTCCCTTAGTTCGAATCTTCATCGTGTAAAACCAGTTTATTCACCGGGTCCCAATGGAATACCAGACTGCGTGCTTAGGTATTGTGCTGGAGCTCTGTGCAATCCCCTTCTGAAATTGTTTACCCTATCTTTAGAAACCTCAGAATTTGAGGAAAAGAAACTAGTTTTAAAAAATTCAATGAAGAGATAGGCGAATGCCGGATAAGAGTTTGCTGTAAGGCTATTAAATGAAAGCGAGAAAGGATATAAATTTGGTTTACGTTTAATGTTAACCAAGTTATAAAACTTTTTCGGGTCAAATAATTATTTTAATACTAAACGTTGAGCACGGTAAAGTTCGACCAAGCGCTGAGATAACTGGAGAAAACAGGTAGAGAACCGGTACGTTTATATTTATTATAAAGCCAAGATTTTATATTTTTTTTGGCGTGTCAGCTCCTTAGTGAATCAAGTTAATTTACAGTTTTTCAGTCACAGTCTTAGATTCACAGCTTTAATTTTTCTCTAGATCTGATTGTACCATTGGCAGCTAAATGATATTAAGATTATTATTATTTTAAAATTTTGGTACAAATTTTAAAATAATAATAATGGCCAAATATTTGAAAAACAGCAAAGTTATTATTATTATTTCTTTAAAAGAATTTTTTCCTTTTTTTTTATTGCAAAACGTAAATAAAAAAACTAACTTTGCCTCGATACGAGGGTTGTTCAAAGAGTAATGAGACTTCAAACTTGGTGGTGGAAAAAAAAGGTGTCGTCCTGGCGGCCACGATTCAGGGTCTCCAGAGCGTCCGAAATAAAAAAAAAACGGGGTTATAATTAGAATATATGTAATTTTCGGGTGACGGAACAGTTATTTTTTAAACTTTTTTAAACAAAATGGCGGCCATTCAAAAAAAAATTTCGATTTCGCGCTTTTTTTGTAGTTTCGTGTAAAAAAAAAAAAAAAAAAAAATTTTTTAATCTGTTCCGTCACCTAAGAATGGTGACAATTCTGCGTCGATTCCACTTTGTTTCATGAAAATCGGTTCAGTTGAACTGGAGATATCATGGCCGCCAATTCGAAAAACGTGGTTTCGAGATAAACGCGTTTGAAGTTTGAAAATAGCTCATTGCTTCACAAAAAAGGCTGTATCTTCTAAAGTATTTCGAATTTCTAAAAATCCTTTTGGGGACATATACACAACATCCCAAGCTATAAATAAATGCAAAAAAAAAAATCGAAAAAAAAGTTGCCCAATGAGAAGACCCCCTTAAACCGATTTTATGCGTTTACTTTGGACGCCATACTAAGGACTCCAAATACGAGATCCATATTCTAAGATAGGACGAACAAGTGAAGTATTTAGGGATTTTGTAACATAGGGGTGATTGCATTCCTTTGACCACAGATAAATGAAACCAAGAACACCCCTGGCTTTATTCACCATGCACAAAATATGATCGATAAAGTTAAGTTTAGGATCCAGACGGACACCCAAATTTCTTTTTTTGGCAGCTATATGATATATTCAACCGATCCGGCCCGTTCTGACTTAAATAGCAATGAGAGTAGTCAAAAGACGATCTGCATAGTTTCATTTAGATACCAGATAGACGGACAGACTAACATGGCTAGATCAACTCTGCTGTTGATGCTGATCAAGAATATATATACTTTGTAGGGTCAAAAATGTCTCCTCTGCGATGCAAATTTCTGACTAAAATTATAGTACCATGCAAGGGAATAAAGTATTGTAAATAATAATATATTAATAGTAAATTGTTATAATTATTATATTTTTTATTTCAGAATGTTATATGTGAGCTGAAGCAAAGGTATGGCAGTCGACGTAGCGAATGTGTAAGCATCAATCCTTATTCAGTCCCCGAGCGTTCTGCAGCGTGTCCATCAGATGTGGGCGACGACTTGGCATTTTACACAGGGGCAACTCTCGACCACATAATGAACGAGCTGTGCAAACAAGCAGACTTTTTTATCGATATAAATCAGAAAAAAAATTCAGATGACCCATCTATCAATTCATTAGAGGACTGCATGAGAGAATTGGGTCGCCTTAGACAATCACTTAAAGAGAAAGATCGCCAAGTGGAAAATCTTATTGTAGAGAACGAGTGCCTCTGCGATGCTGTCGAAAAAAAAGCAAGTGAAACTTTATATTCTGAGAAGAACTGCAACATGCAATTAACTTGCATGAGGGATTTGCTAAAGCAAAAGGACCAACAATTGGAAGACCTTATTGATGAGAATGACTGTCTATGCGAAGCAGCTGAGAATGGAAAAAAAAAACTTGATGACTTGGAATACCAAGTTCAGAAATTAGACGAGAGTACAAGGTATATGGAGCAGGGTATTATCGAAAGCATTGATCTAATTCAAGATATCGGAAACATAGCACAAGAAAACGATAGGCTAAAAGGGGAAGTTGGCAGCCTCAAGGATAGTGAGGTCCAGAAACTCCATAACCAAGTTCAGGAACTTAACGATGGTAATAGGTACCTAGAGAAAGGTATTACAGAAAGCATCGGAATCATTCGGGATATTGGAGATGTAGCACAAGAAAACGAAAGGCTAAAGGCACAGGTTAGCAATTTTAAAGACAGTGAGGCCCAGAAACTTTTTAACGATCTTTCGAAGCAACTTCAGGATTGCAGAGAGCAGTCGCAATATTTGCAGGAAAAAAATAAAGCATTGGGTGATGCTTTGCAGTCATTAGGCGGGAATCCAAATGATATAGAAAGCAAAATTACACATAAATCTGCAACTGGATCTTCTCCAAGTGGTCAACCTGGTGCTGGACTTGACAAAACACAAGGAGTACCATCTAAAACTGGTACGGAACAAAACGCACCTGGAGTAGAAATGCGAGAGGCCCTGGGAGTTGGATCAAAGCCTCTCGTAGGAGCCGCCACAAAACGAGCCGACGAATCGGAGGCAGACTCTAAAGGAGCGTCAGGACTTACTACTAAAGGAATAACCGCAGAAGAACCAGTTTCTGGGCCACCAGCCACTGGGGGATCGGCCGCTAGAGGACCAGTCGCTGGAGGACCAGCCGCTGGTGGACCAGCCGGTAAAGACCCAGCCCCTGGCGGAGCAGCTGCTGGGGGAACAGCCGCTGGAGGACCAGCCTCTTTTGGAACAGGGGCTGGAGGACCAGCCGCTACAGGAGCTGCCCCTGGAAGCGCCACCGTTGCAGAACCAGCTGCAGGAGGACCCACCACAGGTGGGCCAGCCGCTATAGGACAAACCGCTGGAGGACAAGCCATTGGAGGAGCAGGCGCTAGAACACCCGCCGCAGGGGAACCAGTCACTGGTAAGCCAGCCACTAGGGGACTAGTCACTGGGGAACCAGCGGCTGGAGGACCAGCCGATGGAGGACCTCTTGCTGGAGGAACATCCACTGCAGGAGCAGCTGCTGAAAAGCCAGCTACTGGAGGAACAGCCACTAAAGTATCAGCCTCTGAAAGGCCTGCCGAAGGGGGACCGACCCCTAAAGGGCCAACCGCTAAAGGGCCAACCGCTAGAGGACCAGCCACCGGAGGACCAGTCGCTGGCGGACCAGCCACTAAAGGACCAGCCGGTGGAGACGTCGGAGAATCAACGGGACAATCCGCTGGAGGTATTACAGAGCCAGCAGGGGGCCGAGATGCAGGAGGAACACCTTCAGGACCTGCGCCGAGAGCAGCCGAAAAAACAGCTGCTACAGTTTCCGAAGGAGCGGCAAGACCAACGGGCACAGTTAAGAGTTCAGGACCAACAGTAAGTGGTCCCGGGCGTACTACAGGTCAAGAAATAAAACCTGTTACAGTTCAGGACTCGCAGTCCAGTAAAGGACAAGCAGCTCTGACTGGTGCAGAACAAACTGACAGAACTGGTGCAGTCAAAGAAGCTACCAGTAATGAGAAAAATATACCTGAAACTTCTCAAAAAGGAGTCGAACCTGCAAACGGCTTGGGATCTAAATCCAGACCAATATCAAGATTAAAGGAGGGGCCTGCAGCTGGACTAACTTCCGGAGTTGCCGGAAAAGCAGTTCCCAGTCCATCGACATTCCAAGGGCAGAAAGGTAAAATCAGAGCCTCGACAGCAGGATTTGGAACAGAAAGAGAATATGGTAAAAGGCCTTCTAGCAAGGTCGCGAAGTCTGAAAAAAAAGGCTTCAAGAGCAAAGGGGAAACTGGAGGAGAGCATGAAAATAAAGGAATACGAGCCTCGTCACGATGCAGGGATGATGGACAATTCGACGACTTTGTACGCCATACTGTACAATCCTTATCATCCGGCGATATCGATGGCTGTGGATTGGAAAGAGAGCTGCGCAAAATACTCGATATGTTCGTTGATGAATGTGGATTCTGCTTCTGCAAGTGCAATATTCCAAAAAGTCGATTCTACGCGATATGTCATAAGCTCTACCACCACGGCTTACACACATTAGAATTTAAAGAATTGGTCTATATGCATAAACGTATATATGCCGCTGCCGAAAATATCCTTCCCGGTTGTTTATTTAATATGATAGTCAAGGAAATGACTGGAGTCAGCTGCGCTCCGACTCTATTAGCTTCCTTTAATTCATGTCCGTCGTCTGTAACAACAGCTTTAAAGTGCTGCAGCTGTAAAAACATTATGTGCTGTGACTCTAGTGAGGAAAAACTAATGCGAAAAGGTAAGTACTTAACATCAAACTGTCTTTGTTTTTCATTATCATTTTTCAGTGATGCGTTTGGAAAGTGACATTGAGAATGCTAAGATGTGTCTTCAAAATTTAAAGACTATCCCATCAAAACTCTCTATCCCAAGATGTCGTTTAAATGTCTATGATTCATCTGTTAGGTAGGTAGAGTACCCTTATTACACATTTAATATGTCACATGATTTTTATATTTTTCATCCAGGGATTTGAAAATGGAACCAGTAATGAAACTTTCATTCAAGTGAGTTAAATTTCTTATAATGATTTAATAAGGAGCCCAAGTAACTAAATGAATTTATTTTGTTCAATATATGTTTGTATTAGTTTATTATTTATAATTTTAAAGTGATGGTTACCAAACGTTTACTTATAATAAATTAAATGTATGTAATGCATAAAATATGATTTAATTTTTAAGGTGGGCTGGGATATATTTTGTGAGTACGAAGGCTGTGGTAGCGCTTATACAAATAAATTCATTAAGAACATTAAAAACATGGCTGCCCCAAAAACTGTAACAGTAAAACCACAGCTACTACTTGTCTATTGACAAGTTTTTTTTTGTTTTGTTTCTGACTAAAGTCAAGCTTTTGATTTTTGTTAACTTGAAGCCGAAAACATCGAGTCAGAAGAGCTTTCTAAATCCTTATCAGGTATATTTCGCTGCTAATAAACAACTTTTAGTATGTTTAATTTATGCTTTTTCTTAGTGGTCAATTGTAACGCTCGACTCAGTCATAAATGTAAAACATAAGAAAGAATATATGTATTCATATTCTTTCTTATAGAATAGCAAACAGAACGTAGAGGTGCACGAACATCATGAGGTCACAAATAAAGCTATTCTTCCTTCCAAGTGAACGGACGTGTTTGATTTCTTGAGCTCTCGATTCGTGTAGAATTTGCTTAAAAAACCACCGGGGTTTATTTATATTTTATATTTGGTGTTTTTAATAGTTCCCGTTCACTTTGCGTGTGCATGCAGCTAATCTGTTTGTGTTTTTAATTCAATTTAAGGGGGGGGTAAGGTTAATTCGGTGCAAAAATGCCCACTTTTCAAAAAAATGTTGTAGCGAAACGGCTAAAGCTAGCTTAACGAATTAAATACCATATAATAACACAACATTTGAACAGTTTGTGATAAATTTTGTATTGAAAAATATTTAGAGGTAGAGGAGTTATAGGGAATCTCCCGAGTCGCCTCCAAAAAAGTTGGTTTGCGGTGTACATCCTAACTGTCCACAGAATCATCCGATCTACAAAAATTATACCTCATTCGTTAAAGGATAAGTGTCCCGAGGTATTCTCGAAGCGTTTTTATTTTTAAAATTTTTTCCCTATTTTTTTATCAAAATTTGAAGTCAAAACCCCGATTTTTGACTAAAAAATTAAGTTAATTTGTTAAATAAAAAATATAAGAAAATTAAAAATTAAAAAAAGCTCGACGAGAATACCTGTAGAATTATCTAAAGAAGTTATGTTCCAAATTTCAAACCGATTGGTTCAGTATATTTTTAGTTATCGTGTACACCGATTTTCAAAATGGCATTTTTCAGGAGAGCGCTTTAAACTTTGTGATTCTCATGCATTGAACACCTACCGACCTTCGTTCAGCTCCGCATAACTTCGTCAATTTTACTATGATTGATGTAAAACTTGGACACAATATTCTTAAAATATTGAACTTTTAAAATAAAAAATAAAAAAAAATTTACGAAAAAAAAAATTAAATACCTTACCCCCCTTAAATAACATTTTAATTTGGCCTGCTGCTTTTGCTTTGCTTTTTTTTTTATTTCCCGTTGTGACTTCTCCGTGTGTTGTTATTTGCGCCGTCACGACAGCTATAAACGGCTCTAGTTAGTGCTTAATCTCATGCTCTACCGCTCTTTTGTTCTCCAGCTCTCCCAGTTCTGCTGCACTACCTAATCCCTTGCGCCCTCTCTTAAACGAAAAAGGTACAGTGCTTATCGGATCCCTCCGTGCTTATTTTATGTGGCGAACACACGAACACGAACACACTCACTGAGCGTTGTCCATCTTAACACACTCTGTCTACTTTTGACCGGCTTGCTCAGGGAACATGGGCGTGGGTTTGTGTTAATATGAACAAGAGTGTCACAGAACTAAAGTTGTAGACAGAGACGATATCGGCAAATAGGAAAACCCTTCGGTTAGGGAATCAGACAGAACAGAGCACCTATCGAAGATGAGGACCAGATGTTGTTGGCCTCAGTCTATACCCACCCTACCTGTGAAATTCCATCGAACTCCACCCTTTTACAACCGCTGCTTTACATACCCGAAAGTGCCACAAAAGACATCAGCTTAATTCATCTTAAACTGCATATAATTAACGATAGCGATAATATTACGATACATTTGTTTAGCCTAACCTTAACCTAAGAGTTTACGATATTTACTTTACAAACCACTTATTGATTAGTTTTGTATATATCTATGGTTGACGAAAGGAAAAAATATAAAAGATATTCAAGTCAAGTATTTGCTTTAGAATTTACATTATGTTTTCTTTTGTTTACTTTACGTGAAATTATTCGCAATTATCCGATACGTAAAACTTATAACCTCTTTTAATCCGAAAGAATTAGCATTAATTACATTAAAAGTTAAGAAATCGAGGTAATCTTACGATTTAATGTAGAATCTGGCGATTATATATGTATGTTCGTTCAGATAGGTATGATTTATTTCACGGCTATGTCGTACTTACGCAATATCCATCGATGTCAGCAGGCTTGACATCATCTACAGCTACTCATCACAGTCATATGATGAGTAGCTGTAGATCTTAATTTAAATGGAGGAAAATCACATATATATATATTTGTCAGATTTTCCACAAAATATGCTATATCGAAATCGAAATAATAAGTAGGTATTCTTAAGCAAGTTTACATAAATTCAAAACTAATCTACTGATACTCAAGAATGAACACGTTCGATCGAGTCGCGGCTGCTTCAGCGCGGCTGCGCAAGCGGTGTTTGGAACAAGCAAATTCTTGTTCTGTCGTGTCGGTACAGACAAGTCAAATGCAAAATGGTGCCTCGTGCACGAAGAAGAAGACACACAAAGTCTGTGTGTGCGGCAACGGGGGCACACCAACTCGATGTGGGTGTGGCAAGGGCGGCACACCAGCTCGGTGTGTGCACCAACTCGGGGTGCTCCGATCTGCGCTCTTCTAGCAGCAGAGAGGGGGGAAAGCACAGCTTCCCGATGTGCGCGGCGAACGCTGCGTTTGCACGCAAATATGAATCTGGCTGAGATCGATGGCGTCAGTGAGGTTCCACTACACGTGGTCGAAAGTCAAGGGCGGAACAATGCAATCAGGCTGCGCTGACAATCAGATTTCTACGTACACTTGCTCTCATATCTCTGCGTACAGGACAATAAAAAATCATAACATTGACTTTAATGTCAAATAACTCTGCAGATATTTTGCACTGCGAATCAAAAATTGGTTCAATCTATTAGTCATTCAATTGACGTCGCCTCTTTATTTTTGCAGAATTATGAGCCTAGCGGTTTTCTTATAATGACCATTTTACCCAAACTCCTTTAAAAATAGCAGTCTCAAAAGTGTGCGTACAGCAAAGAAGATCGTCATTTAATGTCCAATGCAATTTAATTTTTGTTTTAAGTTCGCTTTGATTCTTTGATTAATCAATTTTTAATGGGTAATATATGTAGAGTTTGTATTAAGTAGTTTATTTAAATATATTAAGTAAGGCTGAGATGGGTTATAATAAGTGTGGAATAACATAAACGTATAGCAACTTCTGTGATTTAACAACTGTAGGCGACTTTAGCAACTTTGACAACTGATATTTAACTTCATACGACTTAGTAGCTTTCTTAACAATTTAATGAAATAACTCCGGAAACACGACTGCTCCTTACGACTTCTCTCAGCGACTGACTCTCTTCTCCTCTCGTCACTCTGCAACTCTCCCTCTTGGACTCGCTGCTCTCATGATCGGCTGATTGCTATTCGCAACGACGCAAAATGTGTACTCGCTGCCAGACTGTACCTCAACACCTTACACTCGGCCCTCCTGCTCATCTTCATCTGACCCAGATGAAGCCGACTCGTCGTCGTTATCGGCTATAAACCTCCATAGCTTCATGTTATCGCAGCTGGTGCTTGTTAAGTTTGGCCCTTCGACTTGGGCTGCTTTTCGAACGTCGTACCGGCCATTTCGCTTTATTTGGACGACTTCGTACGGTCCTAAATACGGACTAGCCAGCTTTCTTCCTGCGACAAATTGAGTCCTCTTGATTGCGACGAGATCACCCAACCTGTAGATATGAGCACGCTTGCGCTTTTTGTCGTAGTTTCGCTTATATACCTGCTGGGCCTCTTCGATGTTCTTTTTGGCTTCGTCTCGCATTTGTTGTCGCTCAAGATTAAACTGAGAAACAAACTCTTCATTCAGAATCTCTTGTAGACGCTCTTCTGCCTGGCTGTACATTTTTGTGCCAAACAATAGCTCAAATGGCGACAGTTTTGTTGAGGAGTTTACATGTGAGTTAATGGCCTTTTGCACCTGAGGCACATATTTGAACCACTTGCTAGGTTCTTCTGCGGATATTTTGGCAATGACAGCAAGAATCGATCTGTTAATACGCTCGACTTGGCCGTTTCCACGAGCTACTCCTGTAGTAGAGCAAATGTGTTCCACTTTGTTGGTATTCAGCCACTCTTCAAACGCTTCCGATGTAAAGGCCGAACCACGATCGCTGACAACTCGCTTTGGAAATCCAAAAACATTCGACCATTCATTGAATCTCCTGATGACCTCTTCCTGCCCTGTCGTTTTCGTCGGGTAGAGCCACACAAACTTGGCGAAGCCATCCACAATTGCCAGTATATATTTGTACTGCTTCGATGTGGCGTCCATTGGTCCCAAGTGGTCGATATGTACGGTGTGCAACGGCATATCTCCTTTGGCAATGCAGTGTAAGAGCCCTTCTTGCTTTCCCAGCTTCTTACTGTAAATAATGCATTTAATACAGTTGGCTATAAACTCTGTTACCTTCCGCTCCAGGTGGGGGGATCCAAAACTGCTGCTTTACGGAATGAACCGTTTTTTGAACTGCAAAGTGGCCGGCTTCGTGCGATTCTCGAATGACATCTCTTTCCATTGATTTCGGCACAACTATTAGATCGTTGCCTTAAACTGTTCGGTATAGAATATCGCCTTTCATCTTGAAGTTTTGGTATGGACGATCCTGGAGAATGACCAGAATTGCTTTGATGAAGTCATCATT